GATACCTCTGCTGATAGACTGTTAATCTAATACCTCTGCTGATAGACTGTTAATTATAACCACTGGGTCGATGTGTCTGCTGGTGGACATTTTGTCCCCGAGGACATCATCCGCCCAAAAGCAAAATTGCATGAATTACGAAGATCTAACAGGATACTGGCTCGGACGTCGCCCAGTATAAAAAGGTCCGAAACAGACGTCACCATGGGCACGGTGTTGCCTGATAAGGCAGGTGTCTCCTCATCACCAGACATGACAAATATCACAAACATGACTCATTCAGATCATCATACTAGTGACAATAGCAATAGTACACATACACAGCCATGTTCAGTTCTCCTTAAAGACATTTTGGATTTTGATGACTCTGAACAACACTCTCTCATTTCGAAATGTGGAACTAATGGCTGCAAAACTTGTGAAATTTTAATAACAGACGCTCAATTCACTAGCAATTTAACTAAAAAGTCTTACTTTACTAGAAGTTACGATGATCTGAATTGTAAATCTATAAATGTCGTCTACGGATTAGAGTGTTACCTTTGTGGATTGGTTTACGTTGGTGAAACGAAAGGAAGGTTAAACAAACGTATGTGCGGCTATAGATCAGATATCAACCTCAATGCAAACGACATTCTGTACCAGCATTTTAATCAGCCTGCGACTCTTTTCACAAAAAATCTTACGATAAAAATTAATCGTAAGTTATACTGAAATGTGTATGACTTACGAGTATTTTTACTCTTAAGATTTTTTGTGAAAAGAGCCGCTGATTATTCCATCGTTTCTATGACAGTTCGTATAATCGAAAAAAATATACCACAAGACTAACAATTATCAACTTGCAACGTCTATCCGTAGACAAAAAGAGGACTACTGGATTCGACAATTGGGAACTGCGACACCATATGGTTGCAATGACAAAATTGATGGTAAAGGTATTCTATCTAGTCCTTCCTGTAGCTCGGTGAATGTAATGAATATTTTCAACTCTACTCCTCGACGTAGACGCAGTCATGGTGATCGTCAATATACATCACCTACTTTGCATGATATCTCTATTAATGACTTGCTGCCATTTATACAAAAGCCGTTAGGCATTCATTACATTCGCACGAAACTGTATTCATTACCCCTTTCAAAACTTCATTCTCTGTTTAATTTATGTTTGGAAACCACTGTTACAAACCCTCATTCAAACTAATACAAACTTACAGCTATCATTTCGGATATTGCAAGTCACAGACTTTTCAAACCAGTTCGCATTCGACAAGATGAAACTTTCCTTTGCCAACAAAGGTCTCGATGGCGTCAACTTAGGCAATATCCTTCATCATAAATTAGTTCAGTCGAAAATACCACCTTATATTAAAGATCAGTCTGTACCAATAATTTCTTATACCAATACCAAACCAATTGCAACTAAAATTTTCAATTACAAACACGTTTTGCAGGATCTCAACATTGGCGACTTCAAGTCTAATTCTCCTGATTGCACCTGTGCTAGTTCCCAATTCACATGTAATCCGGCTGGCCACGTTATTACCGAAGACCTCAACATTGTCAATAACACTTCCCTGCGAAATTTGTTATCCAAAGGTCCGAAATATCGTGAGCCTTAATCCATCAATTGGAAATACAACTTCAAAATACTGATGGATTCAGTCGAGGATAATGCCAGGCAATGGACTAAACGCGAGAAAGAAGACGTAGATACTCTTTCCGAATGGATTAAGGCTGTGAGGTCGTTGATACAAATCCGAATTAAGAAACTAATCAATACCCACGCTACGTCAATTTTTAAAAACCCAAATGTTGCAAAACACTTGTCTTACCTCCATGACAAATATGTTGTTGTCCCCGCAGATAAAGCCCCAAACAACATCGTTTTTGTGTGTAAATATCATTACATAGACTGCTTGATAAATGAATTAGGTATTGACAATTCACTTGGAAACTCAACATATACCCTCACGACACTTACCAAAGAGGAAATCCTGGATAATCATAGGTCTGTTCTATGTTCCTTTGGAATTTCAACCAAAGATGAAGAACTGGATCTTCCATCACTGTATTAGATACCTAAACTACATAAGTGTCCTTACAAACAACGGTATATTGCAGGGTCTTCCAAGTACTCCACGAAACCTCTTTCTAAATTATTAACATCTATTTTATCAGCAATCAAAGCCGGGCTCCAAAGTTATTGTGAAACTGCCTATTCTAGAGGTGGCGTGAATCAGATGTGGATACTAAAAAATTCCAAAGATCTTTTAGAGTACATACAATCTAAGACTCTCTCATCTTGCAATAGTATTAAAACATTTGACTTTTCTACACTTTACACAAGTATTCCCCATTCCAAACTAAAAGACAAATTGAAAGAGTTGGTAAGACTTTGTTTCATTAAAAAGAATGGCGAACGTAAATACAAGTATCTTGTCTTGGGGAGGGATAAATCTTACTTTGTAAAAAAAATCACTCTGATTCAAACAAAAAATTCTCTGAAACTGACATTATCAAGATGCTTGATTTCTTGATTGACAACATATTTGTTACGTTTGGAGGACGTGTTTTTCAACAGACTGTCGGAATTCCAATGGGAACCAATTGTGGCCCTCTTCTTGCCGACTTGTTTCTTTATTATTATGAGACTGACTTCATACAGGAACCTCTTAGGAAGGAAGATAAGAAGTTAGCAATATCCTTTAACTCTACGTTCCGCTATATAGATGATGTTCTTTCACTATATAATACAAAATTTGGTGACTATGTTGAACGAATCTATCCCATCGAACTAGAGATAAAGGATACTACAGATACAGTTAAGTCTGCCTCATATCTTGACTTACATCTAGAAATTAACAATAAGGGTCGGTTGAAAACAAAACTTTACGACAAAAGAGATGATTTCATCTTCCCAATTGTGAACTTTCCATTTCTATGTAGCAACATTCCAGCAGCGCCTGCATACGGAGTATATATCTCCCAATTGATACAATATTCCTGGGCTTGTGTTTCCTATCATTATTTCCTTGATAGAGGATTGCTGCTCACAAGGAAGCTATTAAACCAAGAGTTCCAAATGGTGAAGTTGAAGTCATCCCTTCGTAAATTTTACGGACGCCATCACGAGTTGGTTGACCGTTATGGAATAACCGTTTCACAGATGATATCGGATATGTTCCTTATGTCGTAACTACAATACCCTCCCTTTTCACGAATGTGAACCGAATAAAACTATTTACCGGATTTGTAATAACATAAGCAACATGACGGGTGCCACATGTGGAGCAGAATCTGCTTACCCTTCCGGAGCACTTGAGATCACCCCCAGTTTTTGGTGGGGTTCGTGTTGCTTAGTCTTTGGTTTTCTATGCTGTGTCATTTGTACTATTATTTGTCTGTTTGTCTTTTTATTTTTGGCCATGGCGTTGTCAGTTTGTTTTTGATCTGTGAGTTTGACTGTCCCTCTGATATCTTTCGTCCCTCTTTTTTAATCCCCGAGAGTATCACCAGCCTAGTAGCCAGAACATTCGGTACAGTTAATTTTATAACTACCACTGTGTCGATATCCCTGTAGATAGACTGTGAGTCCCCGAGGGTATCACCAGTCCAGTAGCCAGAACATCCGGCACCATTAATGTTATAACTACCACTGTGTCGGTACTTCTGGTGATGGACTGTTAATCCCCGAGGGTATCACCAGCCCAGTAGCCAGAACATTCGGTACCATTAATGTTAAAACTACCACTGTGTCGATACCCCTGCTGATGGACTGTTAGTCCCCGAGGGTATCACCAGTCCAGTTGCCAGAACATCCGGCACCATTAATGTTATAACTACCACTGTGTCGATACTTCTGCTGATGGACTGTTAGTCCCCGAGGGTATCACCAGCTCAGTAGCCAGAACATTCGAGACTGGCATGAAAATATGGATATTATGATTGCTGTTATAAAATTTTGAAAATTATTTTGAATTACGGAACATATCTCTCTCATGCAAAGGTCTGCTTCCTTGTCCGGCTTTGGCTATACTTGTTGTCCGGCTTTGGCTATACTTGTTGTCCTTTTTAGTTTATAAGCTCTACATTTTTTAATAAGTTTGGGATTGGCAAATATTTAGGCTTCTAACGTCACTAAAGAGACATTTATTATCGAAATGCGCATCTAGTGCAGAACAACTGGTACCATTAATGTTATTTACATTCATTTTAAAGTGCATTGTGTTAAATAAGATATATAGCACATGTAAACAGAGTATCATCTTACTCATTTTGTTTCGCTCTATTTGATCAATGACACAGTTTCTGATAAATACTTCAGTTATAATATGCATAGTTAGATGCAGTTTAAAATGATAGACAAAAGGGTCGTTCTTTCTTTGATCAAAGGTTAAACTATAATGACTAAAAAAACTGAATACTGAATAAAGGAATAAATTATAATAACTTAAGCCGTCTTTGGCAAAACCTTTCAGAATTTTGGGTCCACAATGCTCTTTATCTTGAAGTTCGTGCTTTTATTTTTTTGGCTTTTGTTCTTTCGAGCGGCACTGATGTAAAATACAAACTTGTATATTTTTTTCTAAGCACGTCCAAATACAACATTTATGTATGCATTTTAACCTTAAATCAAATAATCCGGGTGTTAAACATCATTCAACAAGCTCACCTTGTTTAGGTTATATATTGTCAAAATATACTGTGACTCACAATATGAGGCTTTATTTGCTAATTAAACCAATGAACAACTGGAAAAGCTTTAACTTGTCCTGATATTTTTAAATATAATAGTCAGGGTACTTCTCGATATATGTAGTTGTAATGGTCAACCATATTAACGGCAGGTCATACATTATGACCGCATGTCAAATTGATAGGAAAAAATAAAATAAATGTTGCAAAGGTGCAAAAGATTAAATAACAAATCAAGAAAAGGTCAAAAGTATGGCGACTTAATATAATAGATGAAACACCTAAATTTTGTTAAGGTTGGTCATTACAAATACATGATATCTAGCAATATTCCACGGCGTAAGACTGGAATATCACATCCAACATTCTTCACAAAGTCTTGAAAAACATTCAGTATGGACAAATATCGTCAACGCTGACACGTTCATCTGTGCAATGCCAGCTTCCGGTCAGATGACATTTACATTCATTCACGTTATCTGTATGTACGAATTCTTGATTTATCTTTATGTATCTTCCGAAATGAAAACAATATCCTGAAAATACAAACATTTAGGACCCAACTTATTAAAAATTAATAATAAGTAATTAAAAATTAATGAATTATATTACTAGTTTCTTATCTATCTACATCTAAAACATCTACTATGTCGACAATGTTTTGCAGTTATGTTTTGAATTTGTAATGCTTGTGGGACAGTTTTGTTGGCGTTTGTTTTTCTAGCAGTTTAGTGTTTCTGTTGTTCCGTTTTGTTTCCTCTTATAGTTGATGTGTTCCCCTCAGTTTTGATTTGTGACCCAGTCTTGTTTCAGTTAAATCGATTTATGACTATTGAACAGCGGTATACTACTATTGCCTTTATTGAATCACATCCTATATGCTGCTTTAGTCGACTATCTGAAATTATAATCAGCTTTGTCATTTCCATGGTTGCATCACATACACTTGGTACTGGCTGCGACGTTTGAATCACATGACGGTTTCTGCATGTATAGCCTTAGATACTGTCTCTCTCGATGCATGCGGTTTCACTCTGTTTTGCAGTTCATGGTTTGTTCTGACTGTTTTTTTTTTTCGACTATGTATTCATATTGCTCCATAAGAATTTATATTGGCCTTTTTTCTATATATTTATCATAAATGCAATGTAATCAGAATATGAATTCAATGTATTTTTTTACCCTTCATAAAATATGAGTACACGCGTTAAATTCTTTTTTTCAAGCCAACTAAAATAACAAATTATAATAAATTTACAGTCTCATAAATACATATTTTGTAAACAACTAAGATTCGTCAGTAAATAACTTTTTGCAGTAGTTAACAACCCTAGGGCTAAACAAATTATGATTTTTAGTTTTATTGGGTCTAATTTGTTAAATAAACAAAACTATAGACCAATCAAAATGGATGAGTCATATGAAGTTTTCATCTTATATAATTAACTCACATACCTTTACACTGATTGCAGTCAAACTGTTTTGAGCATGGATTTCTTTCACAAAGAACAAACTTGCATAGTTCAAAGTTCCTTTCAACGATACAGAATTCTGAGTAACCTGGTTTTTGAAATGGTTCTTGTTCGTACAGTTTAAAACAACTTGAGCTATATCTTTGGAAGGGTTCTATATATAAAAAGATATAATTCACCCATATATTAAAATCTTGAAGCCTAATATGATTATACCGTGTGTCAAACTGAAATATCGGGATGTTCCCAATGTTTTGACAAAACACTGCTTGTGTCCTTTACAATCTTCCAAAAGTTCCAAATCTTGTTTTTCGTAAATACGTGTATTTAGTTTTAGTTTATACACATCCTATAAAACTTAAGCGTCTGCTAGTATCCGCATGTTTATATAAGTCTATATATATATTTTGTAACGTCAGTCTAATTAAGTTAAGTTTATTAATCTTTCTGAGGGTAAGTCGGATTTTTTTGCTTGCTTGATTTCTTTAATTCGATATCCTTTAATTGATGGTGTATGCAGATTTAGTTTCTTATTGCTTTTATCGTTTTGTTAGTTTTCTCGTCGTTTTTTCTTTTTGGCATATTTTTATTTCTGACTGTCTTCGATTTATGATATTTAAATGCTCTTTGGTTTTGCTTTTACTTTTTTTATAGCAGTAATACTAACCATTTATTGTATTCACAGTTCCAAAATTGATTTTTTTCCCAGACAAATCAGCGTAATCGTAATCATCGTCTGTCCTTTTTAGACCTAATGAATCACCATAGGAATCACCATACCAAACCAATAACTCTGTGCCAGGTTTTATACATTGGTTAGTTACGTAATATATCTCATAGTTATATTGATACACGTTTAAATTCTCTTCATCAATTGTCCGTGCACAGTTGATATATCTCAACCAACTAGATGTTTTTTTGCCTTGAGCATCTATATGATGCTTTATTTCTCCATTTCTATATGATACCTAAAGAAGAGAAGTGTCAGCGTAGCTGCAATAAGTTTCACTAAAGTGAGTAATGAATAAATAAGATTTTTCCGTATTTGTTATTATATTAGAAGAATTATCTATGTGTAACGAATTTTGAATAAAACAGCATATTCACCTTGAGACAAATTATATTTACCACGTTAAACGGATCGTGCTTTTACAGGTATAATTATTGTAAAATGTTTGATATACTTTAGTCTATTTATAAATAAGAAGATGTGGTATGAGTGACAATGAGACAACTCTCAATCCAAGTCACAATGTGTAAAAAGGAAACAATTATAGGTTAAAGAACGGCCTTCAACATTTGCCAATCACCGATTTGATTCTGTTATTACACACTTTTAAAAACAAATTGTTTCCCTTTGCCAATTGTGTACTGGTTCTTTACCACATAAATGGCCCATGTAAAGCATGAGAAGCTAAAAGTGACATAGCATATATAAGTGAAAAATTACTACTGATATCAAAAGTTTTAGCCTAAAAAGTAATTAAATGAAATAAAAATATTTGAAAAACATTACGTACAAATAAGTTTGGTCTTTCCACTTAATTTGTGTCCCTCCTATGGGAGACAACTAAAAAATTCGATTTTAAATTAAAGGTTCAATTACAGATCTAGCAAAAAGACTATTGCTTTTGGTTTATAATTGTAATTGGATATATTATTATTTGCTTTCTCTCGGAATATGTAATTAAAACAATCAATGTCTTTATAATATCGGTAAATAGGTGGTTGGTTTGAATTTTGAACAAATGATATTACGTCCGTTGGCCTCATGTACATGTACATCATTTTTTCCTTCCGGTCTGTTTGCCTATCGAAAAATTGCATGCAGTCCTTGGTTAGTCACGACCAAAACAACTTAATCTAGCGATTTCTTTATAAAATGCAATAGTTTGTGTGTTCGATTACTATAGTGATAACAAATTATTCTGATATTACAATTATGTATTATATATCAATTATTAGATCTTCTGTTAAATTGTTTTACTTTAAAATGGTCATGCAATTGAATATTGCCTTTCTTCTGTTATTTACCGACATGCATTAGAAGCTTGAAGGACTGATGTTTCAGTTTAACGTCTTTTCTTGCCCGATATGATAAAAAGGGTACCTACAAAAAATGCTTAATGGACCCATGCATCATTTTTTCACATTGTTTCCAAAAGTCCTGAATAAAACACATAATCGCGAAATCTATCAAATTTTTAAAAATAATTTTGTAGCACACCTGTCTGTGATTTGTCAAGGGAACTTAAAATATAAAGATAATATTTGTATACATGCATATTTTAGAACGAGATGTAGTTACAATGTATGTGTTCCCATTAGAAATGAAATGTTTTAGAGTGTTTTAAGACGCAACAAAGACGTAGATTGAAATTCACAAATACGGATAGACTGCATAGGTAAACCTCTGACTGAGAACGATACTTAAACACCTGAGATCACCTGGGGTTTTGGTGGGGTTTGTGTTGCTCAGTCTTTAGTTTTTCTATGTTGGGTTTTGTGTACTGTTTGTCTTTTCGTCGTTTTCGTTTTTTGTCATGGCATTCTCGGTTTATTTTCGACTTATGAGTTTGAATATCCCTTTGATATCTTTTGCCTCTCTTTTGAAACATTTTGTTGTTTATTCATAAGCAAATTGACGAGTTCCATATATGAAAGAAGATTTGCTTACCCTCCCGGAGCACCAGAGATCCCTCGATTTCTGGTGGGGTTCGTATTGCCCAGTCTTTGGTTTTCGATATTGTGTTTCGTAAACTGTTGTTGTCTTTTCATCGTTTTTCGATTTTTTGCCATGGCATTGTCAGCATGTCTCCGACTAATGAGTATGAATATCCCTTTGGTATCTTCCGACTCTCTTTTGAAATGCAATACAAAAACAATTCGCCTAAAGACGTTTTAAAGTTTGTAATGTTGGTCCTTATTGCAGTATAGTATATAGATATTATTCATAATATAATTCTCTCCATTTCTGGGTAATTAGTTCTTCAACAAAGATGAAAGTATGACAGAAGATTTTTGCTTAAGTGATGCATTAGTTTGTTTGTCGATAACTTTTTTCGCATATATAAATAAAAGGGCATTTATGCATAGTAAACGTAAATAATATAATTTCATTAAAACAGCAATCAAATATCCCCTTTATTATTTGATTTGTTTTGTAAATTGTTTTCCATTGCAAGGAGAAGGGATCAGTACATTTTTGATAATCACCAGAAATATATAACTCCAGTCACCACCATGGTAATCTTTCGATAAGGTCCCATCGTAAGGTCCTATTCTTGTCCCATTAGGAATGGTCGTTTCTGCGAATACACCAAGGCCTGCATTAGGTATTTTCGATAGTCTCACAGAAAAACCTGGAGGTATTGTAGCTAGTACATGGTCTTCATTGTCTATCATTGTCTAATAATTAAATAAAACAAAACGAGAATATAAAAAATATTAAAAACAAAGAACAAAATTTACAACAAAAAAATAAACTGCCGTACCTTGTTATAAACCTAGTTGTTAGGTTTTGAGTTGTGTACTTCGCGTTGTTGTAAGGTCAGGTTGATTCTAAAGAAAATACTATTGTACAGTTCAATATTCTTTTCAAACGTAAGCATAAACATAGTTACAATAATCTACATAGATACGCCACGTCATACAGGTAGTGGTGGCGGCACATATAGTTACGCTTTACGTTCCCGCTATCCTCAACATCCTGGGGGCCACCGAAAATTTAAAATCACAAAGAATGAAAAAGATTCACCTGTTACTGTCTCTGTAATATACGATACTTGCAAAATTAATATTTCAACTAAAATAACAATTGTCTTTAAAATTGCCCCTCGGTCATTGAATGTCATTGAAAGTGAAAACCACTGTAACAGACCATAAAACAGTTTCTATGGTCCATAATTACTATTTAAATCTTTAAAAGTCCCTGTCCTTCCTAATTCTGTAAAATTGGAATTTATTTCGTTCGGGAACGAAGAGAATAATGCGTTTTACTATTTTCACTATTTGGTTCTTGTAATTCCAACGGATACAATTTAAATAATTGGTCAGATTTTTTATACCCGTGTCCGTTTTCGTATGAGTCCATCCTTTCCACGAATAAAATCCTTCACGACGACTGTTAACCTCTACATAAGTCTATTAAAATCTTTGTAAACTTGTACGATGTCCCCTACTCCAATATTTTGAATGTGAATACCAGTTTCACGGTGAAAGTCTCGTAAGGATGTTTAATATTCATTCATCCAACGTGTACGAAAATGTTCAATAAGTTGATGTTGTCTCTGACGTTTTTTGTTACAAGACGAATGATAAGAATTGTGGTTTTCAATATCACCCATTTGATGAAGTAACGAAGAGAATCTCCTCCCGTTAAGTAAGTGTGATGGCGTAAGTGGTTGTGGTTCGGTTATGTTTGTTGAAATATACGTAATCGGACGGTTATTTAGCATACCTTCAAATTCAGTTATTATTGTTGGAAGCATGTCAATAGTAACAAATGATCGACCTTGTACTTTATTAATTGCATTTTTTGTAAGTCCTATGAGTCTTTCCCACCATCCACCAAACAATGGGGCTCTATTTTGGGATAAATTTTCAGTCAGTTCCGCTATCCACCATTTTTTGTTGAATGATTCGGCTGCAGCTTTGAATGTATATGGGTTATCTGACATCATTATTCTTGAACGTGAACGACGTGCCACAAATCTCCTAAAAGCTAACACAAATGACTTCTCTGTTTGATCCGGTACATTTCAAGATGCACTGATCGTGTTGCTGCACATGTAAACAGGCAAATATTAGCTTTGCAGTCAATGTTATTTTGTTCTTTTGTACATAAAGCACCTGTAAAGTCGACACCTGTGACAAAAAAGGGATATTCGTCGTAAAGCCTAACTTTCGGAAGCGGTGATTGATCAGGTGCGCGGTTAGGTTTTCCTGTTACTTTTATACACTGTGAGCATTTTCTAAGGTGGTATTTCACACATTGACGAATCCTAGGAATCCAAAACTTCTGCTGAATATGCGCAATTGTGCTGTTTAGTCCAGAGTGTAAATTTTTGTGATGCATGTCTCTAATTATCAACGACGTAAAATGGTGTTTAGTTGGTAACACAATTTGATACTTAGTACTGTAATCTTATGGTGCGTTGTTGAGTCTTCCTCCACATCGCAATAATCCGATATCGTCCAAATACAACCTTACTTGTCTAACGATAGCAATTTTCTGTTTTGATGATGGATTCAAACTATCGATCTCGGATTTGAATGTCGTCTGTTGAACATTACGAATAAGTATATTCTCGGCTTCTCCGATTTCTTGTATGCTGAGTATTCCAATCGTTCGCACGCTTTTGGGATCTTGAGATTGCGAATAAATCTTAAAACGTATAGGTTATTCTAACCAAAAGGTAACATAACAAAAATACCGAACTCAAAGGAAAATTCAAAACGGAAAGTCCCTTATCAAATGGCAAAATCAAAAGCTCAAACACATCAAACGAATGTAAAACAACTGTCATATTCCTGACTAGGTACAGGCATTTCCTTATGTAGAAAATGGTGGATTAAACCTGATTTTATAGCTAGCTAAACCTCTCACTTGTATTGCAGTCGCATAAAATTCCATTCTATTGACAAAAAACAAGCATAATAGCTAAACTCTCAAAAATGGGGTACAGAAGTCAACGTTGTGTTATAATCTAAATCACTATTAAAACAAACAAATATGTCAACAAAGAAAAAACAAAATGGCATATAGATAAAGGCAACAGTAGCATACCGCTGTATACTATATATATAAGGAATATAAGCAAAAATGAAAGACAAGAATACAAAAAATTACTATAGCACAATAACATTAATAACACAATGGCGGGATGTATAAGTACCGAGCCACGCCAAAAGGATATTACCAAAAATTGACTAAACAGTAAAGGTTAATA